GGCTAAACGGGTGCGGCACGGGGACTTGCCGATGACCGGTACCAGCGGTGTCAAGATCGGCCTCTGTGGAGGAGGCTCGTGAAGGACGCTACTGGGCAGTTGGAGGCAGTCGCCCTCCAGCAACAATGGAGGGCAGAGGAGCGACGCTCACAACAACGAGCGGAGCGCCGGGTGGCTAAAGCGCAGCAAGTTGGCACAGTCGGGGCACAGGTGGTGCATCAGCCAGTCATCTCAGTCAGTCGACCCATGGCATCTGGGTCTGTGACCTCGTGCCAGCGAGCGTTCGACATTTCACGTGGCCTCAACGTGCACATAGCCTGGCACAAGCGTTAGTGGAGAATGGCGGTTGTTTTGGTGTGTGTCTCTCTGTGTGCTTGTGTGTCTCTGTGTGTGTCTGTGTGTCTCTCTGTGTTTCTGTCTGTGTTTGTCTCTCTGTGTCTCTGTCTGTGTGTGTCTCTGTGTGTCTCTATGTGTGTCTGTGCGTCTCTCTCTGTGTCTCTGTCTGTATGTGTTTGTGTGTGTCTGTGTGCCTGTGTGTGTCTGTGTGTCTCTGTGTCTCTGTCTGTGTGTGTCTGTGTGTGTGTCTGTGTGTGTCTCTGTCTGTGTGTATCTGTGTGTGTCTGTGTGTGTCTGCGTGTGTCTGTGTGTCTCTCTGCGTCTCTGTCTGTGTGTATCTGTGTGTGCCTATGTGTGTCTATGTGTGTCTGCGTGTATCTGTGTGTGTCTGTGTCTCTGTCTGTGTGTATCTGTGTGTGTCTGTGTGTGCCTGTGTGTGTCTATGTGTGTCTCTCTGTGTCTCTGTCTGTCTGTGTGTGTGTCTGTGTGTGCCACAGTTGCCGGCCTTCATAGGCGCTGCTGCTGTTGCTGCTACTCGTTACTAACGACAGCACTTGCCCCTACAGCCCTGTTAGAGGCTACATGGGGGATCTTTGTCTTTGTGACCTTGAAGAGGCAAGGAATAATGTGGATGCGTCGTTGATAAACGCCACCAGATTGATTCAGGGAACAGAGACGCGGAGTCAACAAAATGCTTTACGTAACATCCACACCAACTCCCGTCTCTGTGCTGCTGATAGACTCCTATACACTACACTGCTATACACTATACACTACACTACTATACACTACACTACTATACACTACACTATACACTACACTACTATACACTACACTATACACTACACTATACACTACACTATACACTATACACTACACTACTATACACTACACTACTATACACTACACTACTATACACTATACACTACTATACACTACACTATACACTACACTACTATACACTACACTATACACTACACTACTATACACTATACACTACACTATACACTACACTACTATACACTATACACTACACTGTTATACACTACACTACTATACACTACACTGTTATACACTACACTACTATACACTATACACTACACTGTTATACACTACACTACTATACACTACACTGTTATACACTACACTACTATACACTACACTATATACTACACTGTTATAGACTATACACTACACTGTTATACACTATACACTACACTGTTATACACTATACACTACACTTTTATACACTATACACTACACTGATATACACTATACACTACACTGTTATACACTATACACTACACTACTATACACTATACACTACACTACTATACACTATACACTACACTGTTATACACTATACACTACACTGTTATACACTATACACTACACTGTTATACACTATACACTACACTACTATACACTACACTGTTATGCACTATACACTACACTGTTATACACTATACACTACACTGTTATACACTATACACTACACTGTTATACACTACACTGTTATACACTATACACTACACTGTTATACACTATACACTACACTGTTATACACTACACTGTTATACACTACACTGTTATACACTATACACTACACTGTTATACACTATACACTACACTGTTATACACTACACTGCTATACACTACACACTACACTACTATACACTACACTGCTATACACTACACTATACACTACACTGTTATACACTAAACTATACACTACTATACACTACTATACACTACACTACAATACACTATACACTACTATACACTATACACTACTATACACTACACCACTATGCACTACACTCCTATACACGACACTGTTATACACTACTATACACTACACTGTTATACACTATACACTACTATACACTACACTGTTATACACTAAACACTACTATACACTACACTACTATACACTACACTACTATACACTACACTACTATACACTACACTACTATACACTAAACACTACTATACACTAAACACTACTATACACTACACTACTATACACTACACTATACACTACACTATACACTACTATACACTACACTACTATACACTAAACACTACTATACACTACACTACTATACACTACACTATACACTACACTATACACTACTATACACTACACTACTATACACTACACTACTATACACTACACTGCTATACACTATACACTACTATACACTACACTACTATACACTACACTACTATACACTACACTGTACACTACTATACACTACACTATACACTACACTATACACTACACTACTATACACTACACTATACACTACACTATACACTACACTACTATACACTAAACACTACTATACACTACACTACTATACACTAAACACTACTATACACTACACTACTATACACTACACTACTATACACTACACTACTATACACTACACTATACACTACACTATACACTACACTGCTATACACTACACTATACACTACACCACGATACACTACACTGCTATACGCTACACTACTATACATTACACTACTATACACTACTATACACTACACTACTATACATTACACACTACACTACTATACACTACACTATACACTACTATACACTACACTATACACTACTATACACTACACTATACACTACTATACACTACACTATACACTACTATACACTACACTGTTATACACTACACTACTATACACTACACTGTTATACACTATACACTACTATACACTACACTACTATACACTACACTACTATACACTACACTATACACTACACTATACACTACTATACACTACACTGTACACTACACTACTATACACTACACTGCTATACACTACACTATACACTACACTACTATACACTACACTGTTATACAATACACTATACACTACACTACTATACACTACACTACTATACACTACACTGCTATACACTACACTACTATACACTACACTATACACTACACTATACACTACTATACACTACACTATACACTACACTATACACTACTATACACTACACTGTACACTACACTACTATACACTACACTGCTATACACTACACTATACACTATACTACTATGCACTACACTGCTATACACTACACTATACACTACACTACTATACACTACACTGTTATACAATACACTATACACTACACTACTATACACTACACTACTATACACTACACTGCTATACACTATACACTACTCTCTGTCTCTCTGTTTCTCTCTGTCTCTCTCTGTCTCTCTCTGTCTCTCTCTGTCTCTCTGTCTCTCTCTGTCTCTCTGTCTCACTCTGTCTCTCTCTGTCTCTCTGTCTCACTCTGTCTCTCTCTGTCTCACTCTGTCTCTCTCTGTCACTCTGTCTTTCTCTGTCACTCTGTCTCACTCTGTCTCTCTCTCTCTGTCTCTAAGTCGCTCTGTCTCTCTCTGTCTCTCTCTCTCTCTGTCTCTAAGTCTCTCTGTCTCTCTCTGTCTCACTCTTCTCTAAGTCTCTCTGTCTCTCCGGAACCCTCCCGTCCTCGGACCGGTAACGTGGAATGTCACCGGCCGAGATGAGCGCCTCTGTGAGTGCAAGGGCGAGGTTCAGGGTGAGGGTGAAGGAATGCGAGGAGAGAGGCCGACCTGACCCAGACAGAACGACCTTGCCTGGAGACTCAGATCTCGCGTCTTTTTATTTTGTTTCGTATGATTTTATTCGCCTTGAGATAATGCATTCCTCAAATTTAGCCTTCATGAAATATCCATCATCATCATCATAGTCAGTCAATGTCATGGGCAGCAGCAGCAGCATCATCAGCATCATCATCATCATCAGTAGCAGCATCAGCAGCATCAGCAGCATCAGCAGCATCAACATCAGCAGAATCATCGGCAGCATCACTAGCAGCAGCATCATCATCAGCAGCATCATCATCAGTAGCAGCAGCATCATCATCAGCAGCATCACTAGCAGCAGCATCATCATCAGCAGCATCATCATCAGTAGCAGCAGCATCATCATCAGTAGCAGCATCATCATCATCATCACCACCCTCTTGATTATTGTTCGTCTCCCACCTCCCCCTCCCCGTGTCTCCCTCCCCTCCCCGTGTCTCCCTCCCCTCCCCGTGTCTCCCTCCCCTCCCCGTGTCTCCCTCCCCTCCCCGTGTCTCCCTCCCCTCCCCGTGTCTCCCTCCCCTCCCCGTGTCTCCCTCCCCTCCCCGTGTCTCCCATCCCCTCCCCGTGTCTCCCATCCCCTCCCCGTGTCTCCCATCCCCTCCCCGTGTCTCCCATCCCCTCCCCGTGTCTCCCATCACCTCCCCGTGTCTCCCATCACCTCCCCGTGTCTCCCATCCCCTCCCCGTGTCTCCCATCCCCTCCCCGTGTCTCCCTCCCCTCCCCGTGTCTCCCTCCCCCCCCGTGTCTCCCTCCCCTCCCCGTGTCTCCCTCCCCTCCCCGTGTCTCCCTCCCCGTATCTCCCTCCCCTCCCCGTGTCTCCCTCCCCTCCCCGTGTCTCCCCTGTACCAGATGGTGATGGATGAGGTGAGGATGGACTCAATGATGGCTGTGTAGAAGTGCACCATCGTTGTCTTTGGCAGGTCGAATTTCTTCAGCTGCCGTAGAAAGTACATCCTCTGTTGAGCTCTCTTTATGAGTAAGCTGATGTTCAGCTCCCACTTGAGGTCCTGGGAGAGGATAGTGCCCAAGAAGGACTCCGCAGTGTTGACTGGGGAGTCGTACAGGGTGATGGGGGTGAGTGGGGCTGTATTCTTCCTGAAGTCCACAACCATCTCCACTGTCTTAAGAGCATTAAGCCGCTGCTGCTGCTGCTGCTCGTGGCGAGCCTGGGCCAGTTGTTGCTGCTGGCGAAGTCAGCGCCTGAGGCAGAGGCCTGAGCGGGTCCCGCAGCCCCATCACGACCTAGCAGTGGCTACTTGGGCATAGGAGGCCGTGGTGAAATGTATGTGCACCAGATGGCTATCCTTACCTACTCTCCCTACCCTCACCTGCACTTAATTTCCCCTTAACAGTGATGCAGTAATTGTTTTTTTTTTACCCTTCTATCTGGCAACAAAACTGACACCTTTTTACAAGGAGTCATGTTTGCATAGACCGCAATACCTGCAGTCGTAATGCAAACAAAAGACATAACTCTGATAATGTGCACTGTCCTTGAAGTTGATTGGTCCACACCCGAGACAGCTTTCCTTAGAGCCTAGTCTCACATGGGTATTATCAGAGTTATGTCTTTTGTTTGTATTATGACTGCAGGTATTGCGGTCAATGCAAACATGACTCCTTGTAAAAAGGTGTCAGTTTTGTTGCCAGATAGAAGGGTAAAAAAAACAATTATCATATTTTTACTGGCAAATGAGGTTCCCATAGAGTGATGCAGTAATTTTAGATGTGACGGTCCCACCTGATGACGGAGACTTGTGTTGCCTCCGAAACATCGTGATTTAATATTTAGTTTCTATTATTTTACTTCTATTAATTTTATTTTTATTTTTTACCTACGTGACTTTACCGAAAAAGCCTCAGAGTATGAATCATTGCAAGTCACGAAAGCTTCAAATCTAGAATTAAAAGTGGAGGAGGGGGTTGAGAGATTTTTGCTGTGTTGTGAGATAAAAAAAAGGACAAAATAAAATGTGTTTGATTAAAAAAAAGTGAATATTCACACCACAAAGACACACGGAGTAGTGACACAGCACAGGAGCACAGTAGAACCAGGTGGTGTGGAGCAGCAGAGGTGGGATGGGGTCTGGTCGGACTGGTCGGGCTAGGCCACAGCTAAATGAAGACAAAAAAACTAATTTAAAAAAAAACGTGCACCAAAAAGTAACACAAAACACAGAGAGAGAAGCTCCTCACCTGCACAAATCGTGAGGACAAAAAAATAAGAATAAATAATAGAAAAATTGAGATTTTGACCGTTTTCCAGGAGCTTAATAAAACGTTTCTCCCTCCCCCCTCCTCCTCCTTCTCCTCCCCGTGTCTCCCTCCGTCCCTCCTCCAGGTGGGAGTCACTATTTGATAATGGATCAAATCTCCAGGTCGCTGGCGTCCAGAGGGCACAACGTGACGATGTTCGTACAGACGGGAACCCCCAGTGTCCTAGGTAGATGACTGCACACAGAGACTCATCACCACCGCACAGAGACCCGTCACCACAAAGAGACCCATAGACTCATCACACAGAAACCCATAGACTAATCACCATCACACAGAGACCCATAGACTCATCACCACCACACAGAGACCCATAGACTCACCACCAACACACAGAGACCCATAGACTCATCACCACCACACAGAGACCCATAGACTCATCACCACACAGAGACCCATAGACTCGTCAGGACACAGAGACCCATAGACTCATCATTACACAGAGACCCATAGACTCATCACCACACAGAGACCCATAGACTCGTCACCACCACACAGACACCCGTCACCACACAGAGACCCATAGACTCGTCACCACCACACAGACACCCGTCACCACACAGAGACCCAGAGACTCGTCACCACACAGAGACCCATAGACTCACCACCACACAGAGACCCATAGATTCATCACCACACAGAGACCCACAGACTCACCACCACACAGAGACCCATATATTCATCACCACACAGAGACCCATAGACTCCCCACCACACAGAGACCCATAGACTCATCACCACACAGAGACCCATAGACTCCCCACCACACAGAGACCCATAGACTCATAACCACATAGAGACCCATAGACTCACCACCACACAGAGACCCATAGACTCATCACCACACAGAGACCAATAGACTCATCACCACACAGAGACCCATAGACTCATCACCACACAGAGACCCATAGACTCATCACACAGAGACCGATAGACTCATCACCACACAGAGACCCATAGACTCATCACCACACCGAGACCCACAGGCTCATCAAATAGAGACCCATAGACTCACCACCACACAGAGACCCATAGACTCATCACCACACAGAGACCCATAAACTCATCACCACACAGAAACCCATAGACTCATCACCACACAGAGACCCATAGACATACCACCACACAGAGACACATAGACTCATCACCACACAGAGACCCATAGACTCACCACCACACAGAGACCCATAGACTCATCACACAGATACCCATAGACTCATCACCACACAGAGAGTCATAGACTCATCGCCAGACAAAGACTAATAGACTCATCATCACAAAAAGACCCATAGACTCATCACCACACAGAGACCCATAGACTCACCACCACACAGAGACCCATAGACTCATCACCACAACTGAAATTACACGTCCGATTTAACAAGCGATAGCATCTATTTTACAAACTTGATTTAAAGTTAAACGTGACTACATTCAGTAAAAATTAACGTGATAAAAATAACACTTCCAAACATGATGACATTTGCTATGTAAATTACCCGCGTTATCTATATAGGTATGTGTTTGAACTAATTTTGCACCGTACGTAAAAGATAAGTTTTCAATGTAGTATAGTGGTGTAATTGATCGTATCACGTATAGTGTATTGTACAGTAGTGTACATTGTAATTAATAGTAGTGTCGTGTAAAGTGTCGTGTATAGTAGTGTAGTGTATAGTAGTGTAGTGTATAATGTAGTGTATAGTGTAGTGTATAGTAGTGTAGTGTATAGTAGTGTAGTGTATAATGTAGTGTATAGTGTAGTGTATAGTAGTGTAGTGTATAGTAGTGTAGTGTATAATGTAGTGTATAGTGTAGTGTATAGTAGTGTAGTGTATAGTAGTGTAGTGTATAATAAAGTGTAAAGTGGAGTGTATAGTAGTGTATAGTGTAGTGTATAGTGTAGTGTATAGTGTAGTGTATAGTAGTGTAGTGTATAGTAGTGTAGTGTATAGTGTAGTGTATAGTAGTGTAGTGTATAGTGTAGTGTATAGTGTAGTGTATAGTGTAGTGTATAGTAGTGTAGTGCATAGTGTGGTGTATATTGGAGTGTATAGTGTAGTATATAGTTTCGTGTAGTGTATGTTAGTGTATTGTATAGTGTAGTGTAAAATGTAGTTTATAGTGTAGTATATAGTAGTGTAGTATATAATGTAGTGTATAGTCGGGTAGTGTAGAGTAGTGTAGTGCATAGTTTCGTGTATATTGGAGTGTATAGTGTCGTATATAGTGTCTTGTTTCGTGTAGTGTATGTTAGTGTAGTGTAGAGTGTAGTGTATAGTTGAGTATATTGTAGTGTAGAGTGTTTGTGTATAATAGTGTAATGGAGAATGCAATGGATAGTAATGTAGTGTATAGTGTATTATATAGTCGTGTATAGTGTAGTGTAAAGTGTAGTATATTGTGTTGTATATAGTGTACTCTATGGTAGTGTAGAGTGTTTGTGTAAAGTAGTGTATAGTGTAGTGTATATAGTGGGTAGTGTAGTGTATAGTGTAGTGTATAGTGTAGTGTATAGTAGTGTAGTGTATAGTGTAGTGTATAGTGTATAGTGTAGTGTATAGTGTATAGTGTAGTGTATAGTGTAGTGTATAGTGTAGTGTATAGTGTAGTGTAGTGTATAGTGTATAGTGTAGTGTATAGTGTAGTGTATAGTGTAGTGTATAGTAGTGTAGTGTATAGTGTAGTGTATAGTAGTGTATAGTGTAGTGTCATGTATAGTAGTGTCGTGTATAGTGTAGTGTCATGTATAGTGTAGTGTAGTGTATAGTGTATTGTATAGTAGTGCATAGTGTAGTGTATAGTGTAGTGTGTAGTGTAGTGTATAGTAGTGTAGTGTGTAGTGTAGTAAGTATGAACCTCTTTGGCACAAGAACAAGCAGTAGTCATCAAGATATGAGTCGGTCAATCTAAATGACTATTTAAAAGTGCATCAGCTCCTTTTCACGTACCTTTACAATAATTTGGCCTGTACCATAATGATTCCATACTTCACCGCTCAGGTCTCGACCAGCTCGCTGGGAACCGCACGTATCGAGTACTCCCGTGGTCCATGGGAGAGGACTACTCGGACGAGTACCACGCCTGGTTCCACACCAGCATGAAGGAATTTTTTAAGGGACGGTGAGTGGGCTTGCTCGGTGAGTGAGTGGGTGGGTGAGTGAGTGGGTGGTTGGTTGGGTGGCTGGGTGAGTGGGTGCGTGCGTGGGTCATTGAGTGGATGGGTGAGTGAGTGGGTGATTGAGTGAGTGAATGGGTGAGTGTCTGAGTGGGTGAGTGGATGGTTATGTGGGTGGATGAGTGAGTGGGTGGGTGGTTGAGTCAGTGAGTGGACGAATTGGTGAGTGGGTAGGTGAGTGGGAGGGCGTGTTGGTGGGTGATTGAGTGAGTGGGTCAGACTCACACGGAGACCCACAGACCCACATAGAGTCATACAGACACACACAACAACAAACGCCATTTGCCACTAAATGGCGGTGACGTCACCACGGCGCTTGAGCCAGGCTATGTTCACCTTGACGCCACGTGAAGTGTCGAACGCCCGCTGGCAGGAGGTCACGGGGCAGACCCAGGTGCCACGGGTCGACTGACCGAGATGACCGAGATGACTGGCTGATGCACCACCTGTGCCCCCTACTGTACCAACTTGCTGTGCTTTAGCCACCCGGCGCTCTGCTCGTTGTTGTGAGCGTCGCTCCTCCGCCTTCCGTTGTTGTTGGAGGGCGACTGCCTCCAACTGCCCAGTAGCGTCCTTCACGAGCCTCCTCCACAGAGGCCGATCTTGACATCGCTGGTACCAGTCATCGGCAAGTCCACTCAGTTCCACGTCCTCCTGTACCACATCACTCCATCTCTTCTCTAGCCCGTACCGCATCCGTTTAGCCCCCTCGATCCGCCCGAACAAAAGCTGTTTAGGCATGCGGTGGCTGGGCATGCGGGCTACATGACCCAGCCAACGCAGCCTTGCCTGCCGGAGGAGCTCACCGATGGGACTTTGCCCAGCTCTTTCAAGGATTTGTGAGCTCCTCACACAATCCAGCCTGGTTAAACCCAGGATGGATCGTAGGCAGGCAAGCCTGAATGTTTCCAACCGGCGAAGATACATACAGACACACACATACACACACACAGACACCCACAGACACACACAGACACCCACAGAAACACACGCACAATGACACAAACACAAACTTACACATACATACAGATACACACATACACACACAAACACACACGTACACACAGACACACACACAGACACCCACAGACGCACACGCAGACACAGAGACATACACACAGACACACATAGACTTACACATACATACATACAGACACACATACACACACACACAGACACACACAGACTTATACATACAGACACACACATACACACACAGACACACGCACAGACACCCACATACACACACAAAGGCACACCCACAAACACACACAGACTTACACAAACATACAGACACACACATATACACACACAGTCGACATTAACCCCACCACCACCGCCACCCCTCCCCCTCTGTCCGTCGCACCGTCGCAGGAACCACGTGGCCGGCTTCCGCGCCTTCTACGGTCACATGGCGCGCCAGTGTGACGTCATCCTCTCTGACGCGGATGCAATGGCGGCCATGGCTCGCGTGCGCCCCCACGTGGCCGTTCTTGACGCCTTCAACCCGTGCTCGTTCGTTCTGGCGCGAGCCCTCGGCGCTCGCTCCGTGGCCGTGCAGCCGGACGGGTTCCCGCGGCGGGGCCAGCCGCCCGGCTTGCCCGACGCTCCGGGCGATGACCCTGGGGAAGGAGGGGGAGGAGATGGCGGTGGAGGAGGGGCTGGCGGGTTCGTCGACGGACTGAAGGACGACGCCATGGGCAGTGGCGGTGGCGAGGGTGGCGGTGAGGGTGGCGGCGAGGGTGGCGGTGAGGGTGGCGGTGAGGGTGGCGGTGAGGGTGGTGGTGAGGGCGGCTGCGGTGGAGGCTACCAGATGGAGCAGTTCGACGCGGTCATACGGAAGTAAGTGCGCAGATGATGAACAGAGTGAGTACACAGGGACCCATAGACTCATCACCCCACAGAGTTCCATAGACTCATCACCACACAGAGAGCCATAGACTCATCACCACCACACAGAGACCCATAGACTCATCACCACACAGAGACCCATAGACTCATCACCACACAGAGACCCATAGACTCATCACCAACACAGGGACTGGCTCTGAGGCAAGACTCATCACCACACAAAGAGCCATAGGCTCATCACCAAACAGAGACCCATAGACTCATCACCACACAGAGACCCATAGAGTCATCACCACACAGAGACCCATAGACTCATCACCACACAGAGACAAATAAATTCATCACCACACAGAGTGCCATAGAGTCATCACCACACAGAGAGCCATAGAGTCATTATCACACAGAGACCCATAGAGTCATCACCACACAGAGACCCATAGAGTCATCACCACACAGAGAGTCATGGACTCATCACCACACAGAGAGTCATGGACTCATCACCACACAGAGAGTCATGGACTCATCACCATACCTGGGTAGCGTGGGTGCCATGCCCCGACCCTGTGGGAGCTGTCCTCCCACCCAGCCTGAGATGTGGCTCTTATTACTCACAGAGAGACACTCAGACTCACTCACTCACACAGACTCACAGACTCACTCAGACTCACTCACTCAGACCCACTCACTCACTCAGACTCACTCACTCAGACTCACTCTCTCAGACTCACTCACTCACTCACACAGACTGACTCAGACTCACTCACTCAGACTCACTCACTCAGACGCAGTTAGACTCACTGAGACTCACTCACTCACTCAGACTCACTCACTCACTCAGACTCACTCACACAGACTCACTCACAGAGACTCACTCACTCAGACTCACTCACTCACACAGACTCACTCACTCAGACTCACTCAGACACACTCACTCACTAACTCAGACTCACTCACTCAGACTCACTCACTCACTCAGACTCACTCAGACTCACTCACTCAGACTCACTCACTCAGACACACTCACTCACTCACTCAGACACACTCACTCAGACTCACTCACTCAGACTCACTCAGTCACTCAGACTCACTCACTCAGACTCACTCACTCAGACTCACTCATTCAGACTCACTCAGACTCACTCACTCAAACTCACTCACTCAGACTCACTCAGACTCACTCACTCAGACTCACTCACTCAGACTCACTCAGACTCACTCATACTCACTCACTCAGACTCACTCAGACACACTCACTCAGACTCACTCCCTCAGACTCACTCAGACTCACTCACTCACTCAGACTCACTCAGACTCACTCAGACTCACTCACTCAGACACACTCACACAGACTCACTCACAGACTCACTCACAGACTCACTCACTCAGACTCACTCACTCAGATTCACTCACTCAGACTCACTCTCTCAGACGCACTCACTCACACAGACTCACTCAGACCCACTCACTCACTCAGACTCACTCACACAGACTCACTCACTCAGACTCACTCACTCACTCAGACTCACTCACTCAGACTCACTCTCTCAGACTCACTCACTCACTCACACAGACTGACTCAGACTCACTCACTCAGACTCACTCACTCAGACGCAGTTAGACTCACTGAGACTCACTCACTCACTCAGACTCACTCAGACTCACTCACTCACTCAGACTCACTCACACAGACTCACTCACAGAGACTCACTCACTCAGACTCACAAACTCACACAGACTCACTCACTCAGACTCACTCAGACACACTCACTCACTAACTCAGACTCACTCACTCAGACTCACTCACTCACTCAGACTCACTCAGACTCACTCACTCAGACTCACTCACTCAGACACACTCACTCACTCACTCAGACACACTCACTCAGACTCACTCACTCAGACTCACTCAGTCACTCAGACTCACTCACTCAGACTCACTCACTCAGACTCACTCAGACTCACTCACTCAAACTCACTCACTCAGACTCACTCAGACTCACTCACTCAGACTCACTCACTCAGACTCACTCAGACTCACTCATACTCACTCACTCAGACTCACTCAGACACACTCACTCAGACTCACTCCCTCAGACTCACTCAGACTCACTCACTCACTCAGACTCACTCAGACTCACTCAGACTCACTCACTCAGACACACTCACACAGACTCACTCACAGACTCACTCACAGACTCACTCACTCAGACTCACTCACTCAGATTCACTCACTCAGATTCACTCTCTCAGACGCACTCACTCACACAGACTCACTCAGACCCACTCACTCACTCAGACTCACTCACACAGACTCACTCACTCAGGACTCACTCACTCACTCAGACTCACTCACTCAGACTCACTAACTCACTCAGACTCACTAACTCACTCAGACTCACTCACACAGACTCACTCAGACTCACTCACTCAGACTCACTCACTCACTGAGACGCAGTTAGACTCACTCAGACACACTCACACAGACTCACTCATAGACTCACTCACTCAGACTCAATCAGACTGACTCACTTACATTCACTCACTCAGACTCACTCACACAGACTCACTCACTCAGACTCACTCACTCACTCAGACTCACTCACTCAGACGCAGTCAGACTCACTCAGACACACTCACACAGACTCACTCACTCAGACTCACTCATTCACTCAGACTCACTCACTCAGACTCACTCAGACTCACTCAGACTCACTCACTCAGACTCACTCACTCACTCAGACTCACTCAGACACACTCACTCAGACTCACTCACTCAGACTCACTCACTCAGACTCACTCACTCAGACACACTCACTCAAACTCACTCACTCACTCAGACACACTCACTCAGACTCACTCCCTCAGACTCACTCAGACTCACTCACTCACTCAGACTCACTCAGACTCACTCAGACTCACTCACTCAGACACACTCACACAGACTCACTCACAGACTCACTCACAGACTCACTCACTCAGACTCACTCACTCAGATTCACTCACTCAGACTCACTCTCTCAGACGCACTCACTCACACAGACTCACTCAGACCCACTCACTCACTCAGACTCACTCACACAGACTCACTCACTCAGACTCACTCACTCACTCAGACTCACTCACTCAGACTCACTAACTCACTCAGACTCACTAACTCACTCAGACTCACTCACACAGACTCACTCAGACTCACTCACTCAGACTCACTCACTCACTGAGACGCAGTTAGACTCACTCAGACACACTCACACAGACTCACTCATAGACTCACTCACTCAGACTCAATCAGACTGACTCACTTACATTCACTCACTCAGACTCACTCACACAGACTCACTCACTCAGACTCACTCACTCACTCAGACTCACTCACTCAGATGCAGTTAGACTCACTCAGACACACTCACACAAACTCACTCACTCAGACTCACTCACTCACTCAGACTCACTCAGACACACTCACTCAGACTCACTCACTCACTCAGACTCACTCAGACACACTCACTCAGACTCACTCACTCAGACTCACTCACTCAGACTCACTCACTCAGACAGACTCACTCAGACACACTCACTCAAACTCACTCACTCACTCAGACTCACTCACTCAGACTCACTCACTCAGACTCACTCAGACTCACTCACTCAAACTCACTCACTCAGACTCACTCAGACTCACTCACTCAGACTCACTCACTCAGACTCACTCAGACTCACTCATACTCACTCACTCAGACTCACTCCCTCAGACTCACTCAGACTCACTGACTCACTCAGACACACTCACACAGACTCACTCATAGACTCACTCACTCAGACTCAATCAGACTGACTCACTTACATTCACTCACTCAGACTCACTCACACAGACTCACTCACTCAGACTCACTCACTCACTCAGACTCACTCACTCAGATGCAGTTAGACTCACTCAGACACACTCACACAGACTCACTCACTCAGACTCACTCATTCACTCAGACTCACTCACTCAGACTCACTCAGACTCACTCAGACTCACTCACTCAGACTCACTCACTCACTCAGACTCACTCAGACACACTCACTCAGACTCACTCACTCAGACTCACTCACTCAGACTCACTCACTCAGACACACTCACTCAAACTCACTCACTCACTCAGACACACTCACTCAGACTCACTCCCTCAGACTCACTCAGACTCACTCACTCACTCACTCAGACTCACTCAGACTCACTCAGACTCACTCACTCAGACACACTCACACAGACTCACTCACAGACTCACTCACAGACTCACTCACTCAGACTCACTCACTCAGATTCACTCACTCAGACTCACTCTCTCAGACGCACTCACTCACACAGACTCACTCAGACCCACTCACTCACTCAGACTCACTCACACAGACTCACTCACTCAGACTCACTCACTCACTCAGACTCACTCACTCAGACTCACTAACTCACTCAGACTCACTAACTCACTCAGACTCACTCACACAGACTCACTCAGACTCACTCACTCAGACTCACTCACTCACTGAGACGCAGTTAGACTCACTCAGACACACTCACACAGACTCACTCATAGACTCACTCACTCAGACTCAATCAGACTGACTCACTTACATTCACTCACTCAGACTCACTCACACAGACTCACTCACTCAGACTCACTCACTCACTCAGACTCACTCACTCAGATGCAGTTAGACTCACTCAGACACACTCACACAAACTCACTCACTCAGACTCACTCACTCACTCACTCAGACTCACTCAGACACACTCACTCAGACTCACTCACTCACTCAGACTCACTCAGACTCACTCACTCAGACTCACTCACTCAGACTCACTCACTCAGACAGACTCACTCAGACACACTCACTCAAACTCACTCACTCACTCAGACTCACTCACTCAGACTCACTCACTCAGACTCACTCAGACTCACTCACTCAAACTCACTCACTCAGACTCACTCAGACTCACTCACTCAGACTCACTCACTCAGACTCACTCAGACTCACTCATACTCACTCACTCAGACTCACTCCCTCAGACTCACTCAGACTCACTCACTCACTCAGACTCACTCACTCAGACTCACTCATTCAGACTCACTCACTCAGACACACTCACACAGACTCACTCACAGACTCACTCACAGACTCACTCACTCAGACTCACTCACTCAGATTCACTCACTCAGACTCACTATCTCAGACTCACTCACTCACACAAACTCACTCAGACCCACTCACTCCCTCAGACTCACTCACACAGACTCACTCACTCAGACTCACTCTCTCAGACTCACTCACTCACACAAACTCACTCAGACCCACTCACTCACTCAGACTCACTCACACAGACTCACTCACTCAGACTCACTCACTCACTCAGACTCACTCACTCACTCAGACTCACTCACACAGACTCACTCACTCAGACTCACTCACTCACTCAGACTCACTCACTCACTCAGACTCACTCACACAGACTCACTCACTCAGACTCACTCACACAGACTCACTCACTCAGACTCACTCACTCACACAGACTCACTCACTCAGACTCACTCACTCAGACTCACTCACTCACTGAGACGCAGTTAGACTCACTCAGACACACTCACACAGACTCACTCACTCAGACTCACTCACACAGACTCACTCACTCAGATTCACTCACTCAGACTCACTCACTCAGACTCACTCACTCAGACTCACTCACTCACTCAGACTCACTCAGACTCACTCACTCACTCACACAGACTCACTCACTCAGACTCACTCACTCACTCAGACTCACTCAGACTCACTCACTCAGATGCAGTTAGACTCACTCAGACTCACTCACTCAGACTCACTCACTCAGACTCACTCACACAGACTCACTCACACAGACTCACTCACTCAGATTCACTCACTCAGACTCACTCAGACTCACTCACTCAGACTCACTCACTCAGACTCACTCACACAGACTCACTCACTCACTCAGACACACTCACACAGACTCACTCACTCAGACTCACTCACTCACTCAGACTCACTCCCTCAGATTCACGCTCTCAGAATCACTCACTCACTCAGACTCACTCAGACATACTCACAAAGACTCACTCAGACACACTCACTCAGACTCACTCAGACTCACTCAGACACACTCACTCAGACTCACTCACTCACTCAGACTCACTCAGACATACTCACACAGACAGACTCACTCACTCAGACTCACTCACTCATACTTACTTACTAAAACAGACTCACTCAGACTCACTCACTCAGACTCACTCACTCAGACTCACTCACTCAGACTCACTCACACAGACATACTCACTCACAGACTCACTCACACACAGCCTCACACACATGGCGTGTCTCTCTCTCTGTGTGGTTGTTTCCCAGACACCTTGGAGGCGCGAGTGGCCTTGCTCCGACCCTGTGGGAGCTGTCCACCCAGCCCGAGATGTGGTTCTTCAACGTGGACTTCGCCCTCGAGTCTGCCCGGCCTCTCCCTCCCTACGCCGTCTGTGTGGGCGGCCTCCTCGCCAGGCCACCGCGTCCTCTGCCACCGGTGAGCGAGGGATGTTGACTACCTCGCCTGGTAGGCGCGAGGTCGCAGGATCGATCCCAGACTCTGTAAGATGTTGACTACCTCTCCCGGCACGAGGGAGGTCGTAGGTTCGATCCCAGACTCTGGGAGATGTTGACTACCTCGCCCGGTAGGCGGGAAGTTGAGGGTTCGATCACTGTGTCTAGAACATGTTGACTCAATCGCCCGGTACGCGGCAGGTTGCGGGTTTTATCCGGGACTGGAAGATGTTGACTACCTCGTCCTGTACGTGCGAGGTCGCGGGGTCGATCCCAGACTCTGGAAGGTGTTGACTACCTCTCCTGGTAGGCGGAAGGTCGTGGGTTCGATCCTGCACTCTGGAAGATGTTGACTACCTCGCCTGGTACGTGCAAGGTCGTGGGATCGATCCCAGACGCTGGGACATGTTGACTACCTCGCCTGGTACGTGGGATGTCGTGGCTTCGATCTCGGACTCTGGAAGTTGTTGACTACCTCGCCCGGTATGCGCGAGGTAGTGGGGTCGATTCCAGACCCTGGAAGTTGTTGACTACCTCTCCCGGTACGTGCGAGGTCGCAGGGTCGATCCCAGATGCTGGAAGATGTTGACTACCTCTCCCGGTAGGCGGGAGGGCGTGGGTTCGATCTCGGACTCTGGGAGATGTTGACTACCTCTCCCGGTAGGTGGGAGGTCGTAGGTTCGATCACTGATGCTAGAACATGTTGACTACCTCGTCCTGTACGCGGGAGGTCGTGGGTTCGATCCTGCGCTCTGAAAGATGTTGACTACCTCACTCGGTACGTGCAAGGTCGTGGGGCCGATCCTAGACTCTGGAAGATTTTGACTACTTCTCCCGGTACGCGGGAAGTCGTAGGTTCATCCTGGACTCTGGGAGATGTTGACTACCTCTCCCGGTACGTGCGAGGTCGCAGGATCGATCCCAGACTCTGTAAGATGTTGACTACCTCTCCCGGCACGAGGGAGGTCGTGGGTTCGCTCTCGGACTCTGGGAGATGTTGACTACCTCTCCCGGTATGCGGGAGGTCGCAGGTTCGATCCCAGACTCTGGAAGATGTTGACTACCTCTCCCGGTACGCGGGAAGTCGTAGGTTCGTCCTTGACTCTGGAAGTTGTTGACTACCTCTCTCGGTACGTGGGATGTCGTGGGTTCGATCCTGCGCTCTGAAAGATGTTGACTACCTCGCCTGGTACGTGCGAGGTTGTGGGGTCGATCTTGGAATCTGGAAGTTGTTGACTACCTCGCCCGGTACACATGAAGTCGTAGGCTCGTCCTGGACTCTTAGAGATGTTGACTACCTCTCCCAGTACGCGGGAGGTCGTGGGTTTGTCCTGGACTCTGGGAGATGTTGACTACCTCTCCCGGTACACAGGAAGTTGTGGGTTCGATCACTGACGCTAGAACATGTTGACTACCTCGTCCTGTACGCGGGAGGTCGTGGGTTCAATCCTGCGCTCTGGAAGATGTTGACTACCTCACTCGGTACGTGGGAAGTCGTGGGTTCGATCCCAGACTCTGGAAGATGTTGACTACCTCACTCGGTAGGCGGGAGGTCGTGAGTTCGATCCCAGACTCTGGAAGATGTTGACTACTTCACCCGGTATGCGGGAGTTCGTGGGTTCGATCTCGGACTCGGGGAGATGTTGACTACCTCTCCCGGTACACAGGAAGTCGTAGGTTCGTCCTGGACTCTGGGAGATGTTGACTACCTCACCCGGTATGCGGGAGTTCGTGGGTTCGATCTCGGACTCTGGGAAATGTTGACTACCTCGCCCGTGACGCAGAAGGTTGGTGAGTTCGATCCCAGACTCCAAAGATGCCTGTAAGGGCACGGTGGTGGCTAGGGAGATGTTATCGGGACGATGTAGGTTCGATCCCAGATCCCCCGAGATGATAAATTCCTCACTTGGTATGGAGGAGGTCGTGGGTTCGATCGGGCACCCTAACAATGCCTCCTGCTGCTGTATATTTGGAGTCTGTTTGTCTCTCTCTCCGTGGTGGTCACTGCGTTGATTTTCGATTTAAAGCTTTCGTGACTGCAGGGATTCGTCTTCTTGGTTCTTTCGGTAAAGTCATCACGTAGAAGGGAAATAATAAAATAATAAAAATAAAACATCATAAAATAATTCTCACGACGTTTCGGCCACAACGCAAGCAGCCGTCCTCAGGTGAAGAACAGGTCTCGTTGATTCACTCGTTGATTTTGTCTCCACATTTACATTCAACGTCTCTACGCGTCCAGAGCATTTGGCTGCTGATGTCAATTTCCTCACGGTGATGATAATGATGGTGGAGCTGCTTTCGTTTGTATTGACCAGGTCCCTTGTCTGAACAGAGAGCCACGCAGCAGCTTAGCGGAGCCTTACACCTGGTGACGTAAATATAATTCTGGATTTGAAGCTTTCGTGACTGCAAGGATTCATATTCTTAGGTTTTTTCGGTAAAGTCACGTAGGTAAAAAAAATAAAATTAATAAAAGTAAAATAAAAATAAAATAAAAATCACGACGTTTCGGAGGCAACACAAGCCTCCGTCTTCAGGTGGAACTGTCACAGCACGATTGCTGTATCAAGTAAGAGAAATTCATCAACATAGCAAAGGGCTGTTTCATCTACGTAACAAAGGCTCAGTCCCATTTACATCAGCCGCACCTTAACAACTCTTGGTACCTCCCAGTTCAACCAGTCTACATGTAATAAAAGACTCCGTCACACGATGTTGATCTCCGTCGGTCCTTTATTTGTGTTCGTCTTCCGCTCACCCCGCTGGCCTCCTCCTCGGCCCAGCGTCGTCTCTCCTTGCGCCCCGTGCACTCTGCAGCTACCCTGCTGCTTCCTATGCAGCCCCACTGCTGCTCCCTATGCAGCTACTCTGCTGCCTGTGCAACCTTGCACGCCCTGTGCTAGCCTCCACTAGCTCTGCAGCTACTCGGCTGCTCCGTGCAACCCCAGCACGCCCTGTGCGCCCCGCGCACTCTGCTCTCTCCTCACCCCGCTGGCTGGCGCCGTCCGATGAGCCCCTCAGCCACCAGGCTGAGGCACGGCGACCACCCAACGTGATCTCCCCTCTTCACTCCCTCGACTCCCCTCATGTCTTCCTGTCTCCTCGCTATAACTTCTCCCCCACGTGACCCTGATTCCTCCCTCTCCCACGTGACCCTGACTCCTCCCTCTCGGATCGTCACATCCGATCTGCCCATTTACGCTCGCATTACATACACAACAAAGCCCCATTCCTAGCGGCGGCCTCAGCCGCACCAACCTCACAATAATAATACAAAGCTCCGATCCAGGTGCCTGCCTTGGCTCCTCCCACCCTCAACCAGTATATATGCAGGGACGGGTCTCTTGGAGTTTCTCTTGCTTGATACAGCAATCGTGCTGTGACGGTTCCACCTGAAGACGGAAGCTTGTGTTGCCTCCGAAACGTCGTGATTTTTATTTTACTTTATTAATTTTAATTTTACCTTCGTGACTTTACCGAAAAACCTAATAATATAAAAATACGTAAATATAGTTTCGTTTTAGTATGGGTCTCGATGGGTGTGGGTCTATGTGCGTCTCTATGAGTTTGGGTCTCTGTGGGTCTCTGTGGGCCTCTGAGTTTGGGTCTCTGTGGGTCTCTGTGGGTCTTTATGAGTGTGGCTCTCTGTGGGTCTTTATGAGTATGGGTTTCTGTGGGTCTCTATGAGTATGTGTCTCTGTGGGTCTCTATGAGTGTGGGTCTCTATGGGTCTCTATTAGTATGGGTCTCTATGTGATGATGATGATGAGGAAGTGTCTTTCACCTTGCAAAATACAAAGTAGTTTGTAGTTTTTAAACGCTAGTGCTGCCAATGGCAAGACACTCTCTCTGACTGCTCATTCACTCACCACCACCAGCACCCTGGGCTCCATGGTCTTCATGAGTCTCTACGTGTCTCTATGTGTCCCTACCAATCTCTACGTGTCTCTTAGAGTCTCTATGAGTCTCTATGAGTCTGTATGGGTCTATATGTGTCCCTACAAGTCTCTATGAGTCTGTATGGGTCTCTATGAGTCTCTCTGTGTCTCTATGGTCTTCATGAGTCTCTGTGTGTCTCTACGAGTCTTTACCTATCTCTACGTGTCTCTTAGAGTCTCTATGAGTCTCTATGAGTCTGTATGGGTCTATATGTGTCCCTACAAGTCTCTATGAGTCTGTATGGGTCTCTATGAGTCTCTCTGTGTCTCTATGGTCTTCATGAGTCTCTATGAGTCTCTATGAGTCTGTGTGGGTCTCTATGAGTCTTCATGTGTCTCATGTGTCTTTACGTGTCTCTATGGGTCTCTATGTGTCTTCATGTGTCTTTATGTGTCTCTACGTGTCTCTGTGAGTCTCTATGTTTCTTCATGTGTCTCATGTGTCTTTACGTGTCTCTATGTGTCCCTACGAGTCTATACCTATCTCTACGTATCTCTGAGTCTTTGTGAGTCTCTATGAGTCTGTATGGGTCTCTATGTGTCTTCATGTGTCTCATGTGTTTTTATGTGTGTCTATGTGTCCCTACGAGTCTCTAACTATCTCTACGTATCTCCGAGTCTCTGTGAGTCTCTGTGCGTCTGTATGGGTCTCTATGCATCTCCACGAGTCTCTTTGTGTCTCTAACGTGTCTCTAACGTGTCTCTGTGAGCCTCTATGAGTCTCTATGTGTCTTCATGAGTCTCATGTGTCTTTATGTGTCTCTATGTGTCCCTACGAGTCTCTAACTATCTCTACATATCTCCGAGTCTCTGTGAGTCTCTATGAGTCTGTATGTATCTCCACGTAGACGCTTGAGTCTCTGCTGTCTGGGCCATGCTCCCACGGCTTCGTGCTGGTCTCCCTGGGCTCCATTGTCTTCATGAGTCTCTCTGTGTCTCTATGGTCTTCATGAGTCTCTACGTGTCTCTGTGAGACTCTATGAGTCTGTATGGGTCTCTATGTGTCTTCATGTGTCTCATGTGTCTTTATGTGTCTCTATGAGTCTCTCTGTGTCTCTATGGTCTGTATGAGTCTCTATGGTCTTCATGTCTCTATGCGTCTTTATGAGTCTTTACGTGTCTTTATGTGTCTCTACGTGTCTCTAACGTGTCTCTATGCATCTGTGTGTATCTCTATGTGTCTCTATGTATCTCCACGTTGACCCTAGACTCTCTGCTGTCTGGGCTGTGCTCCAGAGGCTTTGTCCTCGTCTCGCTGGGCTCCATGGTCTTCATGAGTCTCTATGTTTCTTCATGTGTCTCATGTGTCTCTACGTGTCTCTGAGTCTCTACAAGTCTCTATGAGTCTGTATGGGTCTCTATGTGTCTCCTCGTAGACCCTAGACTCTCTGATATCTGGGCCATGCTCCCTCGGCTTCGTGCTGGTCTCGCTGGGCTCCATGGTCTCTATGAGTCTCTCTGTCTCTATGGTCTTTATGAACCTATGTGAGTCTCTATGGGTCTCTACGCATCTCTGAGTCTCTGTGAGTCTCTATGAGTCGGTATGGGTCTGTGTGTGTCTCTACAAGTCTCTATGTGTTTCTATTGGTCTTCATGAGTCTCTACGTGTATCTAACGTGTCTTTGTGAGTCTCTATGAGTCTGTATGGGTCTCTATGTGTCTCTATGTGTCTCTATGTGTCTCTATGTGTCTCCACGTAGACGCTTGAGTCTCTGCTGTCTGGGCCGTGTTCCCGCGGCTTCGTCTTCGTCTCGCTGGGCTCCATGGTCTTCATGAGTCTCTACGTGTCTCTAACGTGTTTCTATGAGTCTGTATGTGTTTCTATTGGTCTCTATGAGTCTCTCTGTGTCTCTATGGTCTTCATGAGCCTCTACGTGTCTTCATGTGTCTCTACCTATCTCTAGGTGTCTCCAGGAGTCTCTGTGAGTCTCTACGTGTCTTCACGTGTCTCTATGTATCTCCACGTAGACCCTAGACTCTCTGCTATCTGGGCAGTGCTCCCTCGGCTTCGTGCTCGTCTCGCTGGGCTCCATGGTCTTCATGTGTTTCTACGTGTTTCTATGTGTCTCTATGTGTCTCTATGCATCTGTGTGGGTCTCTACGCATCTCTGAGTCTCTGTGAGTCTCTATGCGTCTGTATGGGTCTCTATGTGTCTCTAACGTGTCTCTAATGTGTCTCCATGAGTCTCTATGAGTCTCTACGTGTCTCCACGAGTCTCTTTGTGTCTCTATGTGTCTCTATGTGTCTCTGTGAGTCTCTACGTGTCTCTATGAGTCTCTATGCGTCTGTATGGGTCTCTATGCCTCATGTGTCTTTACGTGTCTCTGTGCGTCTCTATGGTCTTCATGAGTCTATATGTGTATTCATGTGTTTCATGAGTCTTTACGTGTCTCTATGAGTCTCTGTGAGTCTGTATGGGTCTCATGTGTCTCATTGTGTCTCTATGTGTCTCTATGTGTCTCTATGAGTCTCTCTGTGTCTCTATGGTCTTCATGAGTCTCTATGTGTCTTCATGTGTCTCATGTGTCTTTACGTGTCTTTATGAGTCTCTGTGAGTCTCTATGTGTCTTCATGAGTCTCTATGTGTCTTTATGAGTCTCTATGTGTCCCTACGAGTCACTAACTATCTCTACGTATCTCTGAGTCTCTGTGAGTCTCTATGAGTCTGTATGGGTCTCTATGTGTCGCTATGAATCTCTATGAGTCTGTGTGTGTCTCTACGTGTCTCCACGTAGACCCTAGACTCTCTGCTGTCTGGGCCGTGCTCCCGCGGCTTCGTTCTCGTCTCGCTGGGCTCCATGGTCTCGTCGGTGTCCGACGAGCGTCTGCTGGGCGAGATGAGCGCCGCCCTCTCCCGCCTGGCTCCCCTCTGCGTCCTCTGGCGACACGCGGACCTCGCCTGGCCCAGGGGACGCAACGTGCACGTCGCTGATTGGCTGCCTCACAACGACCTCATGGGCGAGTCTCTTCGTTCGTTCGTTCACTCATTCACTCACTCATTCACTAACTCAACACTCATTCATTCACTTGGTCGGTTTTTCAATTCGTCGCTCGAAACCTGTGAATCGGTCGACTTATTTACAGGCTGTATTGCAAGGACCTCGTAGGTGAGTCGTTGGTTCGTTCACTCATTCACTCACTCATACACTCATTCATTCACTCACTCATTCACTAACTCATTGACTCACTCATTCACTCGGTCGGTTATTCAATCCGTCGCTCAGTTACTCGGGAATCGGTCAACTAGTCCACTGGATACCTCACAAGGACCTCGTGAGCGAGTCGTTGGTTCGTTCACTCATTCACTCACTCATTCACTCACTCATTCACTCACTCATTCATTCACTCGGTCGGTTTTTCAATCCGTCGCTCGGAACCTGTGAATCGGTCGACTTATTCACAGGCTGTATCACAAGGACCTCGTGGGTGAGTCGTTGGTTCGTTCACTCATTCACTCACTCATTCACTCACTCATTCAATCACTCAATCACTAACTCATTGACTCACTCATTCAATCGGTCGGTTATTCAATCCGTCACTCAGTTACTTGTGAATCGGTCGACTCATTCACTGGCTGCCTCACATCGATCTCGTGAGCGAGTCGTTGGTTCATTCACTCATTCACTCACTCATTCACTCACTCACTCACTCATTCACTCACTCATTCACTCACTCATTTACTCACTCATTCACTAACTCAACACTCATTCATTCACTCGGTCGGTTTTTCAATCCGTCGCTCGGAACCTGTGAATCAGTCGACTCATTCACTGGCTGCCTTACAAGGACCTCGTGGGTCAGTCGTTGGTTCGTTCACTCATTCACTCACTCATTCACTCACTCATTCACTCACTCACTCATTCACTAACTCAACACTCATTAATTCACTCACTCATTCACTAACTCAACACTCATTAATTCACTCACTCATTCACTAACTCAACACTCATTCATTCACTCGGTCGGTTATTCAATCCGTCACTTGAGAATCAGTCGACTCATTCACTGACTGCCTCACATCGATCTCGTGAGCGAGTCGTTGGTTCATTCACTCATTCACTCACTCATTCACTCACTCGCTCACTCATTCACTCACTCATTCACTAACTCAACACTCATTCAAATCAATCAGTCGGTTTTTCAATCCGTCGCTCAGAACCTGTGAATCGGTCGACTTATTCACAGGCTGTATCACAAGGACCTCGTGGGTGAGTCGTTGGTTCGTTCACTCATTCACTCACTCATTCACTCACTCATTCACTCGCTCATTCACTCGCTCATTCACTCATTCATTCACTCAGTCGGTTTTTCAATCCGTCACTCGGTTACTTGGGAATCGGTCAACTCATTCACTGGCTGCTTCACAAAGACCTTGTGGGTGAGTCGTTGGTTCGTTCGTTGGTTCGTTCACTCACTCATTGACTCACTCACTCATTGACTCACTCATTCACTAACTGAACACTCATTCATTCACTTAGTCGGTTATTCAATTCGTCGCTCGAAACCTGTGAATCGGTCGACTTATTCACAGGCTGTATCACAAAGACCTCGTGGGTGAGTCGTTGGTTCGTTCACTCATTCACTCACTCATTCACTCACTCATTCACTCCCTCATTCACTCACTCATTCACTCACTCATTCACTCGGTCGGTTATTCAATCCGTCGCTCGGTTACTCGGGAATCAGTCGACTCATTCACTGGCTGCCTCACATCGATCTCGTGAGCGAGTCGTTGGTTCATTCACTCATTCACTCACTCATTCACTCACTCATTCACTCACTCATTCACTCACTCATTTACTCACTCATTCACTAACTCAACACTCATTCATTCACTCGGTCGGTTTTTCAATCCGTCGCTCGGAACCTGTGAATCAGTCGACTCATTCACTGGCTGCCTCACAAGGACCTCGTGGGTGAGTCGTTGGTTCGTTCACTCATTCACTCACTCATTTACTCACTCATTCACTAACTCAACACTCATTCATTCACTCGGTCGGTTTTTCAATCCGTCACTCGGAACCTGTGAATCAGTCGACTCATTCACTGGCTGCCTCACAAGGACCTCGTGGGTGAGTCGTTGGTTCGTTCACTCATTCACTCACTCATTCACTCACTCATTCACTCACTCACTCATTCACTCATTCACTCACTCACTCATTCACTAACTCAACACTCACTCATTCACTCACTCATTCACTCACTCATTTACTCACTCATTCACTAACTCAACACTCATTCATTCACTCGGTCGGTTTTTCAATCCGTCGCTCGGAACCTGTGAATCAGTCGACTCATTCACTGGCTGCCTCACAAGGACCTCGTGGGTGAGTCGTTGGTTCGTTCACTCATTCACTCACTCATTTACTCACTCATTCACTAACTCAACACTCATTCATTCACTCGGTCGGTTTTTCAATCCGTCACTCGGAACCTGTGAATCAGTCGACTCATTCACTGGCTGCCTCACAAGGACCTCGTGGGTGAGTCGTTGGTTCGTTCACTCATTCACTCACTCATTCACTCACTCATTCACTCACTCACTCATTCACTCATTCACTCACTCACTCATTCACTAACTCAACACTCACTCATTCACTTACTCATTCACTAACTCAGCACTCATTCATTCACTCGGTCGGTTATTCAATTCGTCGCTCGAAACCTGTGAATCAGTCGACTTATTCACAGGCTGTATCGCAAGGACCTCGTGGGTGAGTCGTTGGTTCGTTCACTCATTCACTCACTCATTCACTCACTCATTCACTCCCTTATTCACTCACTCATTCACTCACTCATTCACTCACTCATGCACTCACTCATTCACTCACTCATTCACTCACTCATTCACTCGCTCATTCACTAAATCAACACTCACTCATTCACTCACTCATTCACTAACTCAACACTCATTCATTCACTCGGTCGGTTATTCAATTCGTCGCTCGGAACCTGTGAATCGGTCGACTTATTCACAGGCTGTATCACAAGGACCTCGTGGGTGAATCGTTGGTTCGTTCACTCATTCACTCACTCATTCACTCGCTCATTCACTCACTCATTTACTCACTCATTCACTCACTCATTCAATCACTCATTCACTCGCTCATTCACTCACTCATTCACTAACTCAACACTCATTCATTCACTCGGTCAGTTTTTCAATCCGTCACTCGGTTACTCGGGAATGAGTCGACTCATTCACTGGCTGCCTCACAAGAACCTCGTGGGCGAGTCATTGGTTCATTCACTCATTCACTCACTCATTCACTCACTCATTCACTAACGTATTCAATCACTCATTCACTCACTCATTCACTCACTCATTCACTCACTCAAATCACTTGGTCGGTTTTTCAATCCGTCGCTCGGAACCTGTGAATCGGTCGACTTATTCACAGGCTGTCTCACAAGGACCTCGTGGGTGAGTCGTTGGTTCGTTCACTCATTCACTCACTCATTCACTCACTTATTCACTCACTCATTGACTCACTCATTCACTCGGTCGGTTATTCAATCCGTCACTCAGTTACTCGGGAATCGGTCAACTAGTCCACTGGATACCTCACAAGGACCTCGTGAGCGAGTCGTTGGTTCGTTCACTCATTCACTCACTCATTCACTCATTCACTAACTCAACACTCATTCATTCACTCGGTCGGTTATTCAATCCGTCGCTCGGTTATTTGGGAATCAGTCGACTCATTCACTGGCTGCTTCACATCGATCTCGTGGGTGAGTCGTTCGTGCGTTGACTTCTTCATTAGTTCATGCGTTCATTCCTTCACTCATTCACTTAATCATTTATTCGATAGGTCACTCGGTTCCCTGGGAATCGGTCGACTCACTCACTCGCTGCCCCACAAGGGACTCGTGGGCGAGTCGTTCATTCACTCTTTCATTCATTCATTCATTCGTTTTCTCGTTGAATCGTTCACTCATTCATTCGTTCCCTAATTCCTTCAGTCACTCAGTCATCGCCCGAGTTATATTCACTGGCTGCCTCACAAATACCTCGTGGGCGATTGTTTCGTTCTTTGTTCGTTCATTCATTCCATTATTAATTCCTTCATTTGTTTACTCCTTCGTAATTCGTTCACCCATTGGGACAACCAGTAGTCTGCTATTCACTGCTTGCCTCACAACAATCTCCGTTCACTCATTCAGTGATTCCTTCGTTTATTCGTTCCTTAGTGCACTTGGTCAGTCACTCACTCATTCACTCAGGAATAGGTCGACTCAATCACTGGCTTGCCTCACAAGGAGCTCATGGGTGAGGGAATTAATTAGTTTATTCCTGAATGAGTGAATGGTGAAGTGAATTAATGAGTGAGCGGGTTTGCTGGGTGGGTAAAAAGTCAACTGACCCACACACCCACTCACCCACCCACTCACCCACCCACTCAACTACCCACTCAACCACCCACTCAACCACCCACCCACTCACCCACCCACTCACCCACCCACTCACCCACCCACCCACTCACCCACCCATTCACCCGCCCATTCACCCACTCAATAACCCACCCACTCACCCACCCACCCACTCACCCACCCACTCAACTACCCACTCAACCACCCACTCAACCACCCACCCACTCACCCACCCACTCACCCAACCACCCACCCACTCACTCACTCACCCACCCACCCACCCACTCACCCACCCATTCACCCACCCATTCACCCACTCAATTACCCACCCACTCACCCACCCACTCACCCACCCAATAACCCACCCACTCACCCACCCACTCACCCACCCAATAACCCACCCACCCACCCACCCACTCACCCACCCACTCACCCACTCAATAACCCACCCACCCACTCACCCACCCACTCACCCACCCAATAACCCACCCACCCACTCACCCACCCACCCACTCACCCACCCACTCACCCACCCAATAACCCACTCACCCACCCACCCACCCACTTCCCCCGCATGCAGGCCACAGTGGAGCCCGTCTGCTGGTCTCTCACGGAGGCATGAACAGTGTGTACGAGGCCATCTACCACGGCGTCCCTGCCGTCATGATCCCGCTGTTCGGCGATCAGCACCGCAACTGCCGCCTGGCACAGAGTCGCGGTTTCGCAGTCTGCCTGCGGGTGGCCTCCCTGGACAGAGACGCCCTGCACTCCGCCCTGCACGGCGCCCTGCAAGAGCCCAGGTAGAGGGTGGCCGAGGAGATGTTGATTGCCTCGCCTGGTATACAGGAGGGCGTGGGTTCAATCCCGGAGCATGTGAGATGTTGATTGCCTCGCCTGGTATACAGGAGGGCGTGGGTTCAATCCCGGAGCATGTGAGATGTTGATTGCTTCGCCTGGTATACAGGAGGCCGTGGATTCGATCCCGGAGCATGTGAGATGTTGATTGCCTCGCCTGGTATACAGGAGGGCGTGGGTTCAATCCCGGAGCATGTGAGATGTTGATTACCTCTCCTGGTACGCAGGAGGTCGTGGGTTCGATCCCGGAGCATGTGAGATGTTTACTACCTCGCCTGGTATACAAGAGGTTCGTGGGTTCGATCCCGGACCCTGCGAGATGTTGACTACCTCGCCTGGTGCGCAGGAGGTTGTGGGTTCGATCCCAGACCTTAAGGTCACGGTGATTGGGTAGATGTTAACTACCTCGCCTGGTATACAGGAGGGTGTGGGTTCAATCCCGGAGCATGTGAGATGTTGATTACCTCTCCTGGTACGCAGGAGGTCGTGGGTTCGATCCCGCACCCAGCGAGATGTTGACTACATCGCCTGGTGCACAGGAGGTTGTGGGTTCGATCCCGGACCCTGCGAGATGTTGACTACATACCCTGGTGCACAGGAGGTTGTGGGTTCGATCCCGGACCCTGCGAGATGTTGACTACCTCGCCTGGTGCACAGGAGGTCGTGGGTTCGATCCCAGACCTTAACGTCACGGTGATTGGGTAGATGTTAACTACCTCGCCTGGTACGCAGGTCGTGGGTTCGATCCCGCACCCAGCGAGATGTAGACTACCTCGCCTGGTGCACAGGAGGTCGTGGGTTCGATCCCAGACCTTAACGTCACGGTGATTGCGTAGATGTTAACTACCTCGCCTGGTACGCAGGTCGTGGGTTCGATCCCGCACCCAGCGAGATGTAGACTGCATCGCCTGGTGTGCAGGAGGGCGTGGGTTCGATCCCAGACCTTAACGTCACAGTGATTGGGTAGATGTTAACTACCTTGCCTGGTATACAGGAAGTTCATGGGTAAGATCCTGACTCTGACGCCTGCTGTATATTTGGAATCTGCATCTCTCGCATCATCATCATCATCACGGTGGCTAGGAGATGTTAACTACCTCGCCTGGTATGCAGGAGGTCGTGGGTTCGACCCCGGGACCTTCGGCCTGCTTTATATTTAGAGTTTGTGTCTCTCTCCCTCTCTCATCATCATCACCGCGGTGGATGGGAGACGTTAACTACCTCGCCTGGTATACAGAAGGCCATGGGTTCAATCCCGCACCCTGACGCCTGCTGCTGTATATTTGGAGTCTGCATCTCTCTCTCTTCCCGTGGCCGTGAAAGCAATGTGTTAAACGACTGTACTGTTGCCACTTCCCCTTCCACACCACCACCATTCACTTACGCACCCACTCACCAATTCCCTCGCTCACCATTCCACACCACACATCCATCAACTCATTCACCCCTCTACCCACCCATTCACCCACCCACCAACCCACTCACCCACCCACCAACCCACTCACCCACCCACCAACCCAATCACCCACCCACCAACCCACTCACCACCACATCCACTCACCACCACACACACTTACCCACCCACCCACTCACCCACACACCACAATACCGACACATCACCACACCCACTCACCCACTCACCCACTCACCCACCCACACACTCACCCACTCACCCACCCACCCACTCACCCATCCACACACTCACCCACCCACCCACTCACCCACTCACCCACCCACCCACTCACCCATCCACTCACCCACCCACACACTCACCACCACACAAATTCACCACCACACTAACTCACCATCACACAAACTCACCATCACACAAACTCACCATCACACAAACTCACCACCACACCCACCCACCCACTCACCCACCCACACCCACTCACCACCACACCCACCCACCCACTGAACCACCCACCCACCCACTCATCCACCCACTCACTCACCCACTCACTCACCCACTGAACCACCCACTCACTCACTGAACCACCCACTGAACCACCCACTGAACCACCCACCCACTCACCCACTCATCCACCCACTCACTCACCCACTCACTCACCCACTGAACCACCCACTCACTCACTGAACCACCCACTGAACCACCCACTGAACCCCCCCCCCCCCCCCGCAGGCTCCGTGCAGCTGCCCGTGCCGCCAGCGCGCTGCACCGCTCCCTGCCGATGTCCCCCGGCGCCACGCTCAGTCGCTGGCTCGAGCACGTGACCGCTGTGGGCGGAGCCGAGCACCTCAGGCCGCGAGCAGCGACGGCAGCGGCAGCAGGAGCAGGAGGAGGAGGGGGAGGGGCAGGAGAGGGAGGAGGAGGAGGAGGAGGGGGAGGAGCAGCAGAAGGAGGAGTAGGGGGAGGAGTAGGAGGAGGGGGAGGAGGAGGGGGAGGAGTAGGAGCAGCAGAAGGAGAAGCAGCAGAAGGAGGAGCAGCAGGAGGGGCAGGAGAGGGAGGAGGAGGGGGAGGAGGGGGAGGAGTAGGAGGAGGGGGAGGAGGGAGAGGAGTAGGAGGAGTAGCAGGAGGAAGAGGAGGAGGAGGGGCAGGTGGAGGGGGAATTGGAGGAGTAGCAGCAGAAGGAGTAGCAGCAGAAGGAGGGGGAGGAGGGGGGGGAGGAGGGGGAGGAACAGGAGGGGCAGGAGGGTCTCTGCTGCTGCTCCTGTCTGCGCTGACTTTGTTGGTGTGCGTGTTGATCGTGGAGGGGGCTCGGAGGAGAGGCGTCGCGCAGTCGAAGATTAAACGCCCCTGAAGTCCTCAAGTCTCCTCTGTGTGGTGGTGATGAGTCTATGGGTCTCTGTGTGAGTCTATGGGTCTCTGTGTGGTGGTGATGAGTCTATGGGTCTCTGTGTGGTGGTGATGAGTCTGTGGGTCTCTGTGTGGTGATGAGTCTGTGGGTCTCTGTGTAGTGGTGATGAGTCTGTGGGTCTCTGTGTAGTGGTGATGAGTCTGTGGGTCTCTGCGTGGTGATGATGAGTCTGTGGGTCTCTGTGTGGTGGTGATGAGTCTATGGGTCTCTGTGTGGTGAGTCTGTGGGTCTCTGTGTGGTGATGAGTCTATGGGTATCTGTGTGGTGGTTATGAGTCTATGGGTCTCTGTGTGGTGGTGATGAGTCTATGGGTCTCTGTGTGGTGAGTCTATGGGTCTCTGTGTGGTGGTGATGAGTCTATGGGTCTCTGTGTGGTGAGTCTGTGGGTCTCTGTGTGGTGGTGATGAGTCTGTGGGTCTCTGTGTGGTGATGAGTCTGTGGGTCTCTGTGTGGTGGTGATGAGTCTGTGGATCTCTGTGTGGTGATGAGTCTGTGGGTCTCTGTGTGGTGATGAGTCTGTGGGTCTCTGTGTGGTGGTGATGAGTCTGTGCGTCTCTGTGTGGTGGTTTATGTTTGTGCGTGAGTCGTTGGGTCTCTGTGTGAGTCTATGCATCTCTGTCTGAGTCTCCTTTGTGTGTTGAGGAGTCTATGGGTTTCTGTGTGATGACTCTATAGCTCTCTGTGTGGTGATGAATCGATGACTCTCTGTGTGGTGATGAATCGATGACTCTCTGTGTCGTGACGAGTCTATGGCTCTCTGTGTGGTGATGAGTCTATGGCTCTCTGTGTGCTGATGAGTCTATGTGTCTCTGTGTGGTGATGAGTATATGTGTCTCTGTGTGGTGATTCTGTGGTTTCCTGTGTGAGTCTATGGGTGACGGTTTCAGTATATGGGTCTCTGAAAGTGCTTGCCATGAATGAACCACAATGCCTCTGGTCAGCAAGAAGCTAAAACTATCATCACACCAACTTCGCTCAGCATCCTTCCAGCCGCAGCAGCTGCTCAGCTATCAAATAAAAACGTTATCGCATCGCACGGTTTCACATCCTGCATACACTACACTATACACTACTATGCACTAGTATACACTTCTATACAGGACCTTACACTACGATACACTAAACTACACGAAACCTACACTACTATGCACTATACACTACTATGACCTGCACTATACACTACACTATACACTACTTTATAAACTACACTATACACTACACTATACACTACACTGTACACTACACTATACACTACACTAATCACTAAACTATACACTACACTATAACCTGCACTATACACTACACTATACACTACACTAATCACTACACTATACACTTCACTATACACTACACTAATCACTACACTATACACTACACTATACACTACACTATACACTACACTAATCACTACACTATACACTACACTATACACTACACTATACACTACTTCATAAACTACACTATACACTACTTTATAAACTACACTATACACTACACAATACACTACACTATACACTACTATAACCTGCACTATATACAATACACTACACTATACACTATATTATACACTACATTAATCCCTACACTAATCACTACACTATACACTACACCATACACTACACCATACACTACACTATACACTACTATACACGAATATAAACTGCATTACACACTACACTATACACTACACTAATCACTACACTATAAACTACACTATAAACTACACTATACACTACTATAACCTGCACTATACACTACACTATACACTACACTAATCACTACACTATACACTACACTATACACTACACTATACACTACTTCATAAACTACACTATACACTACTTTATAAACTACACTATACACTACACTATACACTACACTATACACTACACTATACACTACTTCATAAACTACACTATACACTACTTTATAAACTACACTATACACTACACAATCCACTACACTATACACTACTATAACCTGCACTATATACAATACACTACACTATACACTACTTTATAAACTACACTATACACTATATTATACACTACATTAATCACTACACTATACACTACACTATACACTACACTATACACTACTATACACGAATATAAACTGCATTACACACTACACTATACACTACACTAATCACTACACTAATCACTACACTATGCACGACACTACACTATAAACTACACTAATGACTACACTATACACTACACTATACACTACACTATACACTACACACTACACTACACTATACACTACACCATACACTACATTATACACTACATTATACACTATATTATACACTACACTATACACTACTTTATAAACTACACTATACACTACACTATACACTACACTATACACTACATTATACACTATATTATACACTACACTATACACAACACTGCTATACACTATACAATACACTACAATATACACTACACTGCTATACACTACACTATACACTACTATGCACTACTATACACGACTATAAACTACACTATACACTACACTATACACTACACTATACACTACACTATACACTACACTAATCACTACACTATACACTACCCTACACTATACACTACACTATACACTACACTATACACTGCACTATACACTACATGATGCACTACACTATACACTACACATTACATAATACACTGTATTATACACTACACACTACACTGCTATACACTACACACTACACTATACACTACACTATACACTACACTATACACTACACACTACACTATACACTACACTATACACTACACTATGAGTATGAACCACGCTGGTTCACAGCCGACTCGAAGGCTGCCACTGACTGCAAGGGGCTCCTCGTAGTCACGTGCAGCCCCGGGGGCTACGGGGGTCGTTCTGCTTCAGCCACTCCACCTCACCGGGGCTGACAGCGCAGGGCTCAGTGGCCACGGGCTCGCAGCTGCGCCCCCTGGCGGCTTCCCCCCTCACTGCGCTAAATTTCGATTTAAAGCTTCTTTCGTGACTGCAGGGATTCATCTTCTTGGTTATTTCGGTAAAGTCACGTAGAATGGAAATAATAAAATAATAAAAATATGAAACAAATCCACAGCAAGAAAATTGTGGATTTCACACCTGATGATGATTGCTTGTGTTGCAGTCGAAACGTCGTGAGAATTTTTATTGTTTTATATTATTTTATTATTTCCCTTCTACGTGACTTTACCGAAAAAACCAAGAATATATATATACAGTTTAACACGCATGCTTTCGCGACCAATGTTATTCATAATCAACGTTTTTGGGTTTAGATCGCGTTATTTATAAATGTGTCGTAACCCTCCACCACCCAACACGGCCAATCAGTAAAAAAGTGTCACGTTGACAAAAGACAAATAGTTCCCTGCTTTAGCCCACCGGTGTGTTGAAGTGTGAAACCACAACATTTACAATTTGAGTTGTACGACGTTTCGCTGGTAATTGCATCCAGCATCATCGGGCAATTCGCCAGAATGGTGAGGCTCTGCTGTATCTCCCGTTCTCTGCTCTATATTTGTCTTTTGTCAACATGACACTTTTTTACTGATTGGCCGTGTCGGGTGGTGGAGGGTTACGACACATTTATAAATAACGCGATCTAAACCCAAAAACGTTGATTATGAATATATATACACACACATATGTTTAAGTGACAACTATTACTGGTAGGCTGTGTCAGGTGGTGGCGGGTTTAACAACACATTAATATATTTACGTGATCTAACCCAAACAAACTCTATTATGGTCCACATATGCAGCTGGCAGGCATAGCCATGCTCCAGGATGGAACCCACGGCTTCCTGCACATGATGTAGGTAACATCTCCTAGCCTCCGTAGTGATGGTGATGAGAAGGGTGCAACTTCAAATATACAGCAGGCAGGCATCGTCAGGGTGAGAGATCGAATCAACGACCTCCTACATACCAGGCGATGTAGTTAACATCTCCTAGCCACGGTGATGATGATGATGAGAAGGACGCAGACTTCACATATACAGCAGGCAGGTATCGTCAGGGTGAGAGATCGAACCCACGACCTCCTGAATACCAGGCGAGGTAGTTAACATCTCCTAGCCACGGTGATGATGATGATGATGAGAAGGACGCAGACTTCAAATATACAGCAGGCAGGTATCGTCAGGGTGAGAGATCGAACCCACGACCTCCTGAATACCAGGCGAGGTAGTTAACATCTCCTAGCCACGGTGATGATGATGATGATGAGAAGGACGCAGACTTCAAATATACAGCAGGCAGGCATCGTCAGGGTTAGAGATCGAACCCACGACATCCTACATACCAGGCGATGTCGTTAACATCTCCTAGCCACGGTGATGATGGTGATGAAATAGACGTGGACTTCAAATATCCAGCAGACAGACATCGTCAAGGATCCGGGATCGAACCCACGACCTCCTGAATACCAGGCGAGGTGTAGTTAACAT